TAAAATGTTACACGCTGGATACAGGTGTAATATGTAACCTGTTATGAAAGGTGATCTTATCCTTTAAAGCTGGCCATACATGGATTGAAATTCAGCCAGCTCAGCAGGAACCAGACAACATTTTGATCCATGTATAGTGGTTCCTGTTTACAAGAAGTCAATCTATCAATTGACTTTTCGTGAAAGGCCTTGTTGGGGAATCTCTGCTCAATCAGCGCATGCAGCCAATGAGCTGTAGCGCTGATCAGTGCATTTTCATGGCAGGAGAGTCCTGCTGTCCGAATACAAAGACATAGAGGAGAGGAAATCTCCATCCTCCTCAAATTTGTGGAAAATCTGCTCAGTTTTTTTTTTTTTTTTTTTTTTTCATTCAGATGACATGGCTGGCTTTTGCCATTTTCTCTGCAGTGAAGCCTCTTTTTAAGCCTTTTTAAACAAGCAGCTGTACTTTAACTGCCCAAAGCTGACCATAGACAGGCAGACAACATTTCTTTTAAACGGCTCTTGAAAGCATCAGTGCTGATTTGGAATTTAGCTGTCCAATTCACCACAACAAATTACACAATGAATAATGAGGAAGAGAGGACAATCTGTGCCTTCTTTACACAGCTTTTTTTTTTTTTTTTTTTATCTCCAAAAGAAAACCTACACAGCTGGATCTTTAAATAAATAGCAAAATGGCACAACACCAAAAAAAATTGTAAAATATAAAATGTGCTACACACTCAAGCTAAATGAATCAACCACTGTGCAATGTGATAAACAATTAAAAAATTCATAATCCAATAAAGTGTCCAGTGCTAAAACAAATGGCAATAAAGTGCAATCAATATTTAAATCAAAATGACGTGCTTTTCATAAATTTCATATTCCTATACTCAAAATTGTGCCACAATTTAATTTCTTTTCCAACATTTAAAAAAGTGTTAAGTGCTAAAACATAGATTAGAAAATGTGAAAAAAGTCCCAATCACCAAAATCCTTGTTTGACTTAACCACATCACCAGAGGTATTTGGTGGTTACACTAAAAACCAACAAGAAGTGCATTGGCTCAATAAACTTCTGGAGTAATCATTCAATGGATCCCTCCTTTATTTTTTTTTTTTTTCTCAGGGCAACGTAAGGCAACATCACTTGTTTCATTATTAATAATAATAACCAGCTCCCAGCATGAAACAATGGGAGGGATGAGAGAAGAAAGCCTTCATATTGTCAAACCATTTATGTATTAAAAAGACATGTTCTCCAAACACATTACTAGTGTCGAGAGCGACACTGGATAAACCACACACTCTATTCTGTGACCGGCCAGCTTCAGCCGTGCATCCTGGCTGCAAGCATGGACCTGGCTAGCGTGGTGACGTCACATCCACAGCCCCGCCCTGCGCATTCTGTGTCCTAACATCTTCAAGGGCCAAAAGGAAATGTGTAGGGCGGGGCTGTGGACATGTTGTCCCCACGTTAGGCAGATCCATGTGAAATGCGTAGAAAGGGGCTGTGGAAGTGATGTCACCACAGTAGCCGGGTCCATGATCTGTCCCTTGAAGATCTTGGTAAAGCTTACAGTCTCAGCGGTAATGATTTTACAGAGGGCAGGTCGGACCTCTGGAGTAGATCTCTGCCCTTCCTCAAAGTGTAGTTATCGTTATATTCCCCCTGCTGTTGGAAAAAGGGAGTTTGGGATGACTAGGTGAAATTGCAAACTAGAGGCTGTACCGCATTCTCTCTTCCTAGCCTAAATAAACTAGGATGCAGATCAGCAGGATTATTTGACCTGATTTTAGAAGACAATTTATGGTACTTTCACAATTTATTTTTATAGGTGATAGTTTCCTAGGCATGTTTGGGGGATTTCTCTGCTGAACCGAGCCTTTATTCTTTCACTGTTACATCTTGAATGACAATTGCATGCATATCTTATAAACAATGCATCATCTAAAACAGTGGTCTCCAAACTGTGGCCCGGGGCCAGATGCAGCCCTTTGCTTGCGTTTATTCGGCCCTCAAGGCATTATTCCTCCCACTACAAGCAACAATGTGCCATAGTTTCTCCCATTGACATCAATGATGGGGCACTATTCCTCCTATTGAAACCAACAATGGGGCACTATTCCTTTCATTGATACTAACGATGGGGCATTATTTCTCCCATGGATACCAGTGATGGGGCACTATTCCTCCCATTGACAACAATGTTGGGGCACGATTTCCCCCATTGATACCAATGATTGGGCACGATTTCTCCCATTGATACCAATGATGGGGTACTATTTCTCCCATTGATACCAATGATGGAGCACTATTTCTCCCATTGATACCAATGAGGAGGCACTATTTCTCCCGTTGATACCAATGAGGAGGCACTATTTTCTCCCGTTGATACCAATGATGGGGCACTTTTCCTCCCGTTGATACCAATGATGGGGCACTTTTCCTTCCGTTGATACCAATGATGGGGCACTATTCCTTCCGTTGACACCAGTGATGGGTCACTATTCCTTCCGTTGACACCAGTGATGGGTCACTATATCTTCCGTTGACACCAGTGATGGGGCACTATATCTTCCGTTGACACCAGTGATGGGGCACTATGTCTTCCGTTGACACCAGTGATGGGGCACTATGTCTTCCGTTGACACCAATGATGGGGCACTATGTCTTCCGTTGACACCAATGATGGGGCACTATGTCTTCCGTTGACACCAATGATGGGGCACTATGTCTTCCGTTGACACCAATGATGGGGCACTATGTCTTCCATTGACACCAATGATGGGGCACTATGTCTTCCGTTGACACCAATGATGGGGCACTATGTCTTCCGTTGACACCAATGAGTGGGCACTATTTCTCCTATTAAAACCAAGGATGGGGCACTATTCCTCCCCCTAATACCAATGATGGGGCATTGTTTACTCCCACTGACGCTAGGACATTTTCTTCTCCAACTGGCCACAGTCCGGCCCCCCTAAAATTTGACGGACAGTAAACCGGCCCTTTGTTTAGAAAGTTTGGAGATCCCTGATCTAAAACATCATTATTTATTAGTAATCTATTGTTTGGAAAGTTGGCTGTACACTGGCACACAAAGGAGGGTCATGGATATCCTATAGGTACGTGTTTTTTCTCTCCATTTCCAGAGCGACAATGATTTTGACAAGCTAGATAAATCCTCTTCTCCAAAACGGATCGATTTTGCACCAGTGTCCCCTGCTCCCTCTCCTACCAGAGGAATCGGAAAGGTAATATATGACCCAGTCCTGTTACCACTTAAGCAGCCACACTGCAAAGAGACAGATGCTGCTGCATCACAGTTGTTCTCTGCTCCTCTGCACCCTGGGAGTGGATGATAGCTTTACAGCAGAGATTCTGTTTTCTCTTACCTAAACTATTTTTGTATGTGCTTCTGTCAAGAATCTTCTAGAGGTTGCAGGACACAGAAATGCAGTGTGATGCTCCCTCATGTGGATTTTCCATAGAAAATATACTCCATGTACAAACTACTTAGGTTTGTACAATGTTAGATTATTACTTTCCATGCCTGTTATTGAGAGGGAGCTAAACTAAAGGCAAAACATTTTTAATTTTGGATAGAGTACGGGAGGGTTATAACCCCTGTCAGGGTTTCTTTTGCCATCTTTGTCTCATTGGGGTGGTGTTCTTGTCCCATAGCCAATACAGGAAGTGAGAGGATATCCTTTCAAAGTGAAGGAATCCCAGGTTGTCACTAGTGTCCCCATAGGAATATTTCCCCTCTATTACTGCTCTGGAGACAACCCAAAATGTGAGCTTTTCTTAATTTCACTTTTGATGATAACCATAAACAGGACAAATACAGAGGGTGAATCTCCCTAACTGGGGCACAGAAAGTAATAGAAACCTGACAGGTGTTGTAATACCGCTCTACTGTGTCCAAAATGTAATAAAATGTTTTGCCTTTTAGTTAAACTTTAATTTTTCATTATAACTGTTATTCTGAGCAGATGGGATGATTATGATTGGCAGCCAAGTATCATGTTCCATGTAATTGCACATTGGCTGATTTTGTTATGTATTCGAGCTCTACTATTTTTGATCCAAAGGACACACTTACTCATACATGCAATAATTATAGCCATTTTCAGAGCTGTCTTTAGATACAGTAAGAAATGGTTATACTCTATCCAGTGAGTAAAATGGGCCTTCGTTGGTAAAGAGCTGTTATTCTTGTGTGCAGCAATGCATAACATTCAATCAGAACACAACTTGTACTCCTCTGACTAAAGAATGGGAATTCTAAATGCTTGCTATGGATCACTGTGCTTAAAATGTAGTATTTTTGAAAGAGTACTATAACTCTATAATCTGTATATGACTAAGGCTAACTTTGTAAGAGTTTATTACCCATAAAAATATAACAGAACCTGGATTCTTCACTTACTGTATATCTGCCTCTGCAGAATTTTTGTCTGAACACAGAATTGATGCCACATATTTTATCAATTCTAATGCATAGGATGGTAACATCCTGGATTAGTACAATGTTATGTATATGTTTCAATGTAGTGATTTGTCTGAACATTCCTTATACTTGCGGCAGTGTTTGATGGCTTATTATGCGTATTGTGTTCAACTATTTCAATTTGCATCAAAACTGGACCAGACAAGCATGCACCAGGTAACCATTGTTCTAGTACTTTGTAGGTACCTGCAGGTGCCAGACTCTTATGCTGGTCTTTTTTGGCTGGAAGAGAAAATATAATGCTCAAATCACAATGCATTGCATTGACATTAGCATACTTCTGTTGTGTCCTGGATTGCATTAGCAGTTCACTGAATAATTCTGTCCTTCCCTGAAGGGAATGAATGTGAGCACACTGACACGCCTAACCACTCTATTCCTTTCCTGAATATCCAAAACTCTGAGAGCTTCTCACGGAACTGGACCTGAAATCAGGCAATCAATTTGTAATTGCATTTTCTTTTTCACCTACAGCAATGTTTTTCTCCATCTCTGCAAATGTTTGTAAGCAGTAATGGCTTGCCTCCAAGCCCTATACCTAGCCCTACAAGACGCTTTACAACGTAAGTATGATGGCCTTTTATTAAATAAACTGTAGGCCAACTGCAGACAGATGTGAGGCTCCCTTCCTCCAAGTGCCCATTTACTTTGGTGGTTTTAGCCTCACAGGTTTTTTTTTTTTCTTTTCAAAGCACTTTCTGATAGCAAAGTATTCACTTAAGTGTTGGATTGATGTGAAAGTGCTTTCACTGTAGTGCCATTGGCACCTGCCCATTTTATCGCCAACTTTGTGAACTGAGAGTCTTTAGACATAAAATGATCTAGCAAGGGAAAGGGCCCAAAACTTAATTTCTTAGGAAGGGAAACAGCCACATCTTACAAAAAGTGGAAAGCAAACCAAATAGTTTTTTTGTTATTTTGTAAGAGCTATTACATGGTACATCTTCCTTCCAAAACAATTGGTCTGGCATTAGGCTGAAATGCTGGCCTAAACACTCAGGTTACTTGTTCTTCCTATAGGCTGTGATATGTCTCCCCTCCTCATTCACTAGACACATATGCTCATACAAAATCGTCATGAATTATCATTAAGAGTGCCGGCCTTTGCTTACACGCTGATTGGATGTATAATATGCCTGCATTCATCAAAAATGGACATTCTTATCATTTCTACGGCACTAAGTTCTGCTCTGCTTAATTTTACTTTGGACTTTTTTCATCCCTCCTATTAAATTTACTGTTTGATGCAAAAATTAAAACATGGCTGTCATAACATCCAAGTTGATGTACCACTTTTGTGGTTGTAAGAAGGCTTCCAGGGGTACCTGTACATACCTTTTGAAAAACTTGAGGATCCCAGGACATCAGGGTTTTTTTTGTTTTTTTTTAGACGGTATCAGAAAGTCAAGTCCAGCATCACTCCTTCTCGCATCTCTTGGTTCGTGAGGCCGTCTATCATTCTTATGAACTGATATAGGCACAGGAGTAGGTGGATTCAAGAATGAGCTTTCTTAAATTTGTGTTGGTACAAGTTTTCCAGCAGAGATGTAAATTTTTGTGTATGCACCTGTAGGTGCTCATTTAAAAACAATGGTTACAGTACCCCAGAGTTAGGACTCTAGGATATCTTTCCAGTAGTTTAAGAAACTGTTCAGTTTCCATCACCCTCATAATATGGAAATGATCTAGTCTTTTTAGTGTAGTTGTTGTTGTTCGCATGCAGAAGTGGTGAGCTGAGCTTTAATGTAAATAAACTTTATATATATATATATATATGTGTGTGTGTGTATGTGTGTATATATGTATATATATATATATATATATATATATATAGAACAAGTAGCATGTGAATATTTACACATCACAGAATAAAAAAAATATCTGTTAGAATTCGTTTTGAGGTATTCCATTTAACTTTACCAAAAAATACATTACAGCAGTATCAGTCAAAAGAAAAGGTGTGAATGAGGCTTTGCTAGACAACTAAACCAGTTCATAATTGGCAGGGTAGCGGTCCACAAGTCTTGTGTAAGAGACCAGTGTCTGGACCATGAACTAAAAGTCTTTGCTGGCAGGGGCAACTGATCTAATGGCAGAAAGTGCAACAATGCAATAAAAATACTTTTTTTTTAATTTACCAGTGTAAACCATTTCAATTTTGATTGTGATATACATCATTTTCATTAGCAGGAGGAGCCAGAGTCCCATCAACTGCATTCGTCCAAGTGTCCTTGGTCCTATAAAAAGAAAAGGTATGGTTAGAAAAAACATATGCTGGCAACCTTTTGGCTGTGTATTTTTTGTGATGCTAAATGTCCCAGAATAGCCTGCCATTTCTGCCATAAATGGTTTGCAGGGCATTGTAGCGGTTGTCATTACACTGGAGCCAGAGAACCTCCACAACAGCAAGAGAACTTCAGATTTTATATAACTGATGTAAAATGTCTTTAAGGAGGTTTCTCTCTAAAGACATTTTATATTGGTTATAGGCAGATTGGACTCTTACCTAGTATGTCACACGAAATAGGCAGATGGTCCTGTTCCCTTGATATCATGTCCTTTTGGTGTTATGAGGACTTGGGAGACTACAGGTTTCAAGTGGCTTTGTTGTGAGAGAGTGTGAAATTGGAGGCACTGAGTATGCTACTAACCCAATAAGGAGGGAAATACAGAGTGCAAAATGCAGATGTAAAATAGCACTGAGGCTGACTATAAGCAATTTATATAATTTTAAAATATACTTTGTCTATAAACATCTATGAATTCCGAATATACTTTGTTCCAAGAGGCATCCCTGGTATAGACATGCACTCCTTGATCAAAAAAAGCACACGGTATTACAATAAAATTTCTCAGTGCTTATAACTGAAACTTTCATACACACCTTCACCATAAGAACAAGTATGAAAGTACGATTTCCATTAATATTGTTCCCAAATGCTTCCCTTTTATTAAAGGGGCTAATGTTAAAAATTTTTTCTTAATTTTTACAGTGTGCATCAGAGTCATACCCGGAGTGAATAGGCAGTGTAACAGAGACTTGTATTATCTATGTTTTCAGCCATAATCAAAGTTTCCTAGAGTACTCTTCGCTAGAGGTTCCAGTCAGAAGAACCATCATGTAAAAGACTTGAGTAACTCACTGCTGCTCTCTGTGACACAATTCACTTTGTAAAATGCAGTGTATTCTTGCGCAAGACTGTGTCATAATGTATCTCTGCTGGTGACAATGACAGAGATGGATTTGAGCCCAATGATTCAACCATTTTTCATGGCTGTTTATTCACTTTCCACCCAGCCACTGTACATATACCATCAGGTGGGACAAGCGTCATTCTGGGAGGACGTATGGGTTGGCTTGCTTGGCTTACAGGAATGGAGACTGTTACAGGAGAAGCTACACTAAGCTGTATTCCCTGACCACTTGTATAGACGCAACGATTACAGTACATTGGTTTTGATATAATTGGTTGATTTGTGTGATTACACAAGATACAATGTCTGGTACATAATTATTCTAATTGCAGTGGTATGTAATTAGACTGAAATAGGCTCACGTTTGGTATCATGCACAGGAGGAGTAGCAGAATGTGTTTTGGAGTGATAGGCTACATTCGCACGGACATTTAATTTTCAGAGTTTAGATGTGTTTAGAAGACTTTTCTAAAAGCAGCTGGACTCGCACAATAGTTACATAGTTAGTCTGGCTGAAAAAAAACGTCCATCCAGTTCAACCATTAAAACAAAAAAAAAAGTTATAATCCTATACCCAGAGTTGATCCAGAGGAAGGAAAAAAAAACCCAGCAAAGCATGATGCAATTTGCTCCTGAAGGGAAAAAAATTCCTTCCTGATCCCCCGAGAGGCAATTTGATATTCCCTGGATCAACTTTACCTATAAATGTTAATATCCAGTTATATTCTGTGTATCTAAGAAAGAATCCAGGCCAGAAAAGCAATCCACTGAGCTGGCCAGAACCAACTCTTGAGGGAGCCTATTCCACATTCTCACATCTCTTACTGTGAAGAAATCTTTCTGTATTTGGAGATAAAATTTATTTTCCTCCAGACGTAAAGCGTGCCCCCTTGTCCTCTGTGATGACCTCAGGGTGAATAACTCTACACCGAGTTCACTATATGAACCGCTGATGTATTTATACATGTTGATCATATCCCCCCTTAATCTCCGCTTCTCAAGAAAGAATAAATTCAGTTCCTCTAATCTTTCCTCATAGCTGAGCTCCTCCATGCCTCGTATCAGTTTGGTTGCCCTTCTCTGTACTATCTCAAGTTCCCCAATGTTCTTTTTGTGAATTGGTGCCCAAAACTGAACTGCATATTCCAGATGAGGTTTAACTAATGATTTGTACAGGGGAAATATATCTCTGTCTGGAGTCTATACCTCTTTTAATACAAGAGAGGATTTTGCTCGCTTTAGAAGCCGCAGCTTCGCATTGCATGCCATTATTAAGCTAGTGATCTACCAGAACTCCCAGATCCTTCTCCACCATTGATTCCCCCAGTAGTATGTATGATGCATGCATTCTGAGCCCCCAAGTGCATACCCTTACATTTATCAACAGTAAACCTCATTTGCCCCATAGTTGCCCAATTACACAGTGCATTGAGGACGTTATTCCACTGCACAGCTTGGTGTCATCTGCAAAGACTGAAATTGTATTTTTAATTAAATTTTTTATTTTATTAATATTCTAAAGTAAGGGTCCCAACACTGAACCTTGGGGTACACCACGAACAACAAGTGCATACTGCACTTAGAAGCGCCTTTCTGTCCTTCTTCCATTACTCAGATTCCTGTTTCTACTCTTTGCTTTGCTGCTTCATTGTCCTTCCCAGTTACTATGACAAGTAATTCTTACTCTCTGCAAGTTATGGGCTGTCCAAGCGGTGGGGCCCTATGACTCTCTTTAAATTGTGCTGTGTGTTCCTTTTTTAGTTTAAAGCCTAACTGCATGTTTTCTTTAAATAGTTTGTTTGGGCCAAGCTGGCCCAATTGAACTATTTCCTTTGCTCAGTGATCTGGCTGCCATGAGCAGCAGCTGTATTTTTATAATACTTCCTCTGGCAGAGGTGGAGATTGTGAGGTTAATCCACCCACCTCTCCATCTCAGCCAATCAAAGGAAGCCTTGTATTAATTGATAAAATACAAAGCTTCCTCTGGCTGAGAAGCACTCAGTCCGAATCTATTTTGGTCCAACAGCAGACGGGAAGTTTTCCAAGATGCTGCCAGAATGCTTGCATTTCTGCATACTGTGCGTAGCTGATGTTATATACAGTATGACAGAGAAGCCGCATCACGAAGTAAAGGAAATGGTTTGTTTAGGCCAGCCTGGCTCAAAGAATATATTTACAATGACGGAAAACCCGAGTTAGGCTTTAAAACTGATCTCCAAGCAACATAGGTCAACTACTTCCTGTAGTGTGTGGGTGGTGTGGGTGGTCGGTCGGTCGTCTTTTTGTACCTGATTACTTTGCAGAGATCTTTCAGCTCTTAACCTGTGATACCATAATAGGTTTTCTTGCACACCCATCCTCAGCCAGTGAGATAGGATCTACGAGCCATGAGTTTTTAATGCTTGGGCCTCATGCACACAAGGCGTTCTTTTGTTTTTTGTTTTTTTCTTGGACGCCTTTGCTCCAGGGGAGGAAAAAGCAGCTTATAAGTTCACCTAAAGCTGCATTTGGCATACACATTTATGCACATTTGGTGTTTTAAAGCATTCTCTTGGCCATAATTAAAATTTTTTCTGTCCGTTAGAATGCATTAACATGCGAACACTCCTAAAAGCAGCTAGAATTTTTGCGCTTTTTGCCTTTTTTTTTTTTTTTTTCCACCGAAACACTCTTCTGAGCGTGCATGCAAAGGATTTCTTTTGTGCTTCTAAACAATCCTGCAGCTATGTGCCTGTAAACGCTTGTGTGTGCACGGACACATAGGCTAACATGGAGGGGCATTTAGAGGCAGAAAAAAAGTGTCAAAAGGCTTTGATGCCCAGTGTGCATGAGGTTTTAGGCGCACACTGCCAGACTTGCATCCCCTAAGATCCAACTTTCTGCTGGCAGTCTGAGGGAATGAATGGCAGTAGTATGGGTTAGGAGATGTTAAAGTGCGGCCATCAAGACTGATACACTGGTGCCATGCTGCAAATTGTATAAAAACAGCTGCAGGATGCTGAACAGCTGAGAGAAGCAAGACAAGGAAACCTCTTGCAGAGCATTGAGCATATGCACCCAGAAGCATTGTCAAAGGCCTGCTGCATAGCCTTCTTAGTATGACATTAAACTCTGATGGTGGATTTTTACTATAGGCTATTTGCTTTGATTCCTGATCACCAAATTGTAAAAAAAAAAAATATATATTTGTTTATGTAAAGACCACTGGACTTTGAATAAATCAGTTTTATATTCATACTTTCAGTTGAAATGGAAATGGATACCCAACCAAAGAGGCTGTTTCAAGGAACAACAAACATGCTGTCCCCAGACGTGACTCACCTGTCAGATTACAGTTGGTAAGAGTACAGGCATTTGTCTTAGAATGTTGATAACTCCTGCATGGGAACTTGGGACATATGTGTTTTTTTAATCTCTCCTCACTAATGTCTTTTAGAAATCAAATGAATGCAGGCTGTAATAGTCACACACGTATGTAATAGCTTCGAATTTATAGTCTCTTCAGAGCACAGAAACATTTTAAAAGATATTTGCTATTATTCAAGCAAATGTTGTGTGTATTTTATATTTTCCACCTGCAACCAGCATGAGATAACTGAATGGGGGTTCTCTGAGTTCTTCAGTTTGTCTTGAATGATCTGGTATAATTTGATTGCAAACTATTATACATCTCTGTTCAGAACACACAAAGTTTTAACCATTTGCCCTCCTGAGGATTTACCCTCCTTCCTGACCAGGAAATTTTTTATATTACGGCGCTACGTTGCTTTAACTGACAATTGTGCGGTCATGCAACGCTGCACCCAAGTGAAAGTTACGTCCTTTTTTTTTTTTTTTTTTTCCCCACGAATTGAGCTTTCTTTCGGTGGTATTTGATCGCCTGTGCATTTTTTGTATTTTTTGCACTATGATAAAAAAAAGACAATTTTGAGAAAAAAATATTTTCGACTTTTTGCTATTAAACATGTCCAGTAAAAAAATAAAAAAAAATCTAATTTTGTCATAAATTTAGGCCTAAATGTATTCGGCTACATGTCTGTTAAAAAAAAAAATCCCAAAACGTGTAAATTAATTGGTTTACGTGAAAGTTACAAATGGTGGTATACATACTGGGATTTTTTTTTTTTTTTTTTTTAACTGGTAATGGCGGTGATCAGTGATTTATAGCAGGACTGCGACGGGTATTCTGACACTGGGGGGGAGCTGACTTGATGTCACTGACATCCCTAGTGACACCAATAGTTATCGGTGCTAAAAAAAAAAAGCACTGACACTGTGCTAATGGCACTGGACAGGAAGGGGTTAACATGAGGGGCAATAAAAGGGTTAACTGTGTGCTGTTTTACATAGTGCTGTGTCCATGGGCTTCACTGTAAGCTTGCTGATTTGCATGGCTGTGCTGTGCACAGCCATCCAAAGCAATGTGTACGAGCTGATAGGGAGACCTGTTTTGTTTACAAACAGTTCTCCTTCCCGTTGGAGATGTGAGTAATCACTGGCTAGGACCTGGTGATTGACAGCTGCGGCCGCGAATGGCGGCAAGGGTAGGGCTTGTGCACGCCCCCTACCCGGAAATGTAAAATCGTGTGTTTTTATATATATTTTGCGCACCCGTGCCGCCCTGTAGCAGTATTTCTGCTATAGGGTGGTCAGGAAGCTGTTAATATGTCAGAAGTTGCAAACCCCTTCGACTCTCTCTGCTTCTACAAACGTGTGTGAATTATCAATAAGGGCTTGTTCACACCATTATGTTGCGGTAACATACGTTATGTGCATTAGAGCGCTGCGGTGAATTTCATTCTCATCTGCATTGCATAGCATCTTCACATCCCACTTGCAGCAGGTACGATTTCGACAATGCATGTTAACATGTAATCTAGTGCCCAGTAATCCCATCCCAGCTTATAGCTCTTGTGGGAATGGGCCCCTAAAGGGCCAAAACAGTCAACGAATTCAGAGCTAGCACTTGGCTTTCTTATTTACTGGTTTGAATGCATAACGAATGTAACTATTATTATGTAAAGTAAAGATTTTCTAATGGATGCAGTGATATAAAAGACCAACAAATAAACCTATAAAAAAAATACATTTACCCTTTAAAGTCTTAATCTGGAATACTAAATGTTAACTATTTTGTTTGGACCACGCTGGTCCAAATGAAGTATTTTCTTCACCAATCAATGAAGCATCTGTCAGCGCATTATAAACTGTATGTAGCATCAGCACATACAGTATACAGCGCTGTGTTTTTGCAGGTCTTCCCTTCCTGTTCCCAGAACAAAACTGAGTCTGAGTTCTGCCCAGCTATTCACAGGATGCCTTGTATTTTTAATAATGAATAGAAGGTTTCTTCTGGTTGAGGTGGAGATTGTGACCTCCTCTGCCCACTTCTCCACCTCAGCCTTTCACAGGAAGCCTTATGTATAGTGTGTGTTGTGTGGTTTTTTTGTGTTTTTTGTTTTTCTACTAAATACAAGGCCTTCTCTGATTGGTCAAGGTGCAGTTGTTGGTGGATGACATCACATTCTCTACCTCCGTCAATCAGAGGAAGCCTGGTATTCATTTATAAAAATTACAAAGCTAGCTACCTGTGAATGGCTGAGCAGAGCTTGGGCCAAATCATTTTGTTCCAGGAACAGGAATCAAGTCTCCATACAGCTGCCAGATCACAGTGCTGTACACTGTATGTAGCTGATCCTAAATAAAGTTTACACTGCGATGACAGCTGCTGCATCGATTAGTGAAGGACATAATTTGTTTGGACTAGCTTGATCCAAACAAATTATTTAAAGTCACAAACTTCCTGGAGTTAGGCTTGAAAGATAGTTCATTTATTTTCAGTATTTTCTGAAAGTGCATGTTTAGATGTACTATTGTATCTATACATAAAAACAATAACCTAGCATGTATTTATTTTCATTTATTTATTTTTATATATATATATATATATATATATATATATATCTCTGCTCCATCTAGTAGTTACATCACAAAAAATGTTGCTCAGCCACAACAGGCTTTGTGGAGAGTCTGTTTTAATTTGGATCAAACCAGATTAAAGATTGCCATAAACAATCTGATAATTACAAACAAAGCTCCCAGTTTCAACTGCAGGCTATAATGAGGGTTTCAAGCAGTTGGAAGCACTGGTTATTGCAGTGAGACTTCTGAATGGGCACAATCCTTCTCTGTTTGCTATCTCTGGCATTTGACAGTTGATACTGTGTGTGCCTAGGATACAGGGTCCTCCCCAGATGCAGTCTGCAGACTGTTAAATTGGGGAAGCTGCAGTGTATTCCTACTGCTTCTATCGCCCAAGTCAGGGGTGGAGTTTACATTTTGCATGCTGATTCACTGGGCTTGCCTGTTACTATTTAGGTCAGTAGAATTTATAGCTGTTTGCCAGTAAAAAGCATATTGGTTACACGTGTTTCTAAAACTCATAATATGTGAGTAATGCTTGCTTTAGCATTTCCATCTCACCCCTCCTTAGTGGACTCTCCTTTTGAAGTAGCTGGAGAGCTCACTCTTGCAGAACCAGCTTAGCTGTCATCTGAGCAGAAGGAGAAATCTCCCAGCCAGATCTCTTAGAGCAGTGCCCCACATGGAGGATCACTTAGCCTCCACGCTCCATCTGACATTAAAACCGAAGGGAAAACCATAATTGAATTATTTAATGTTTAGATGTTGATTTATGTGTGAGAGAAGATGTAGAGGGATGAATTTTTCAGCAATGGCATATTTTGGCTTACATTATTTCGCAACCAAGTTGCCATTTTCACATTTGACCACATTCCTCCAAAATGACCCTTTCCTGCCAGCGCTGCTCATGTGTATATGAACATGCTTCAGAGTAATTTTTTAGCTAATCAACCTCATTCATATGAATTTGTATAGATCAATGAGGACAATGGTGATTCACCAATTTAGTTTGACAGCTAACTTCTGTGAATAGATTTTTTTTTTTTTTTTTTTTTTTACGTGTGTTTTTATAAAGGTTGACAAAAGGAATTAGAAATATAAATACATTTTGTTGATAGATGCCTGTTTACCTGAGATTTTGCAAGATCTTGCTTTGTACTGATGAGATATCACTGGAAGGCACCGGTGATATAGCCTTCCCAGGGTGCATCTGCAACCCCCTGGCTAAGTCATTAGTGCCTTAAGAAAGCTGGAAATGCAATTTAGTTACATGTAAGTAACTGAATAAATATTTTCTTGACCAAATGACTTGTAGATGTTTTGGGTGGTGTGTGTTGCGTGCACCAGGAATTTTTAATGTAGGGGAGAAAAGGTCCCCTTAGAAAAAGAAAGAGGGGCCTTTTTTCACTTTTAAACCCTGTAATACTACTAATATAACAAAATTGCACAAATACATGAACGAAAGAACCTTTGGAAACAATTGTTACATTTTTGGGGCTGCTGCTTCTTTATGTTCCCACTCCCCCTTATCATGCATGATCATTGTTATGTATGATGTGGTTAAGCCACACATCGAACATTGGGGGTTATTTACTAAAGCTGCTCTGCACAGAAACCAATCAGCTTTTAGATTTTATTGCCAAAGCTTATTCGACCAAGCTGAGGTTAGAAGCTGATTGGCTACCATGTACAGCTGCATCGGATTCTGAGTGCACCAGTTTTAGTAACCATATTTATACATTCTTATTATGGAAACATTTTAGGTTGTTTGTTTGTAAATCACCAACCTTTAATGTTATGCAAAGGTCACACTTTTGCTAATCTCTAAAGCATTTTTAGTCTCTAAAGCGTTTTTTTAATTCCGTGTTGCTGTTGGAGTTTGGAGTCCCTTTCTGCCTGGTGAAACCGTTGTCACTAGTGCAGTAATTGAGGGGAAAGCTCTTGCATGTGTGCATTGCAGTAATTGCATGGTAAATCATTGTGCATTACTGCAATTTGTGAATTTAACTTTCATTTGTTAATGTGCAACTGAACAGTATAGTGTGCAGGGGCTCTGTAACAGAATCCTGGATAGCTGAAAAACCCTACAGGGGTTCTAATCTGTCCCCGCTCTAAACAAAATAAACATTTACTTGGATAGTTAATATGAAATATTGCTATTTAAGCATTTATTAAATATTTCTGTAATTAAATTGGTCTCTTTTAAAATAAGTGACTCATCTGATTTTATTTTATTTTTTTCCCTGCAGCCTTTCATCAGACCTTGACAGCAGTAGCAGCCTTGGCTCCTCTTTGGACTCTGCGGCTAGAGATGGCTGCGTTACTGACTCTCCAGCAGCCTGTTCCAATTCCTGCTCTTCGTTCATATCTCTGGATGATCTATCTCCAAAGTGAAAGATATTGGTGTGACATTCCATTCCTCTCAAAGGCTCCTAATTTTTCTTTGGCTCTGAAATCCTGCACATTCTTTTCTTTTCCTTGTAATATATTTAATGCCCCTTCTGTGTGAAGGACTGTGACAGGACACTGTTGGAAAGCGGCATAGGGGCTGTGTTTGTTGTGTACAGTATAGTTTGGACAGTGTTTGTGTACATTATGCCTGCTTCTTCCAGGTATTTATGCAATACTCATGTTTTGAAGTATTTTTTTTTTCCTATTTATTTATATATGTAAATCAAGAATTGAGAATGTATTTTAATTTTGCGTGCTGTAATCATTGGCATCTGTGAGGAAAATTGGGAAGTCTAGTGCCATTTCCATTAATTTATTGTTATGCTCAGCGTTATCCTTCTTCTATTTTTCTTTTTTTTTAAGAAGTGAATGTGCTATGCAGGCTCACAATATTGTCACAGAAAAGGAAAAGTGTCATGAGCATTTTCTCTTTTCTATGTGGTTTTTGATACAGTAAAGGGAAAATGAATGGTAGGTAGAACTTTTCAACAGAAAATATGTAATATCTCTGTGTACTGATGGACTTCCTATTTCCACATTTACGAAAGGGTGATGTCAGTGTAGCAGGGGGAAATGATGGTTAGAAATTACTCCTTTTTTTTTTTTTTTTTTTTGTCTCTCACTTGCCCTCTCCATTTTCTTTTCTTTCCTCTCCTCTCCTCCCTCTCCCCTTTTCTTTCCTCTCCTCCCTCTCCCCCTTTTCTTTCCTCTCCTCCCTCTCCCCCTTTTCTTTCCTCTCCTCCCTCTCCCCTTTTCTTTTTCCTCTCCTCCCTCTCCCCCTTTTCTTTGCTCTCCTCCCTCTCCCCCTTTTCTTTGCTCTCCTCCCTCTCCCCCTTTTCTTTGCTCTCCTCCCTCTCCCTTTTTTCTTTGCTCTCCTCCCTCTCCCTTTTTTTCTTTGCTCTCCTCCCTCTGCCCCCCTTTTTTCTTTGCTCTCCTCCCTCTCCCTTTTTTCTTTGCTCTCCTCCCTCTCCCTTTTTTCTTTGCTCTCCTCCCTCTCCCCCTTTTCTTTGCTCTCCTCCCGCTCCCCCTTTTCTTTGCTCTCTCCTCCCGCTCCCCCTTTTTTCTTTGCTCTCCTCCCTCTCCCCTTTTTTCTTTGCTCTCCTCCCGCTCCCCCTTTTCTTTGCTCTCCTCCCGCTCCCCCTTTTCTTTGCTCTCCTCCCGCTCCCCCTTTTCTTTGCTCTCCTCCCTCTCCCCCTTTTCTTTGCTTTTCTCCCGCTCCCCCTTTTCTTTGCTCTTCTCCCGCTCTCCCTTTTCTTTGCTCTCCTCCCTCTCCCCCTTTTCTTTGCTCTCCTCCCGCTTCCCCTTTTCTTTGCTCTTCTCCCCGCTCTCCCTCTCCCTTTTCTTTCCACTACTCCCTCTTCCCCTTTTCTTTCCTCTCCTCCCTCTCCCCCTTTTCTTTCCTCTCCACTCTCTGCCCTGGTGGGTGTCCTACACAATGCATACAGATTATGTAAGCACTTATCTTCTCTGTGTGCTTTGTTACTGACACAAAAACTGGAGGAGTAATGTATTGAGATCTTTGGAATGCTAGTTTCAGAGTCGGCTGCAACCATATATTGTATTTTCTGTTATGGTAAGTGATAAGATCAGTGCAGCACCACAGATACTTCTAATCGTAGCTTTATGAGCTCTGTTCAGTGGGCTGTACAAACATGATCTGCGATGACTGTTTTCTTTATTAAATTAGTAGGTCTCTGTTTTCTACCCCAAATGGCAGGCAATGTGTATTCTGATGTTTTGCTCCTATTTTAGCTTTTAGAGAAGCTTGAAAAGAACAGGCAAACACAAAACCATCATCCCATGTTTATAGCATATATGCTTGCTATTGATGTTCATTTAGCTTTTAACTTTTCTATTTGTCTTCAGCTAAGACCAAGTAAACAATATGAGGCCAATAAAATGTTTTGAATAAGAGGGTGCTAGTTGTCATGTAAGGGATTTAACCAGTATTTGGCTAATTTAAAAGGAATTCAGAAAGGAAAAAAAGACGGCTATTTAAAATATTAAAAGGCATCATATATTTTTAATGAATGAAGTGTTACTCCAGGCAAACAACTAAAGAGTTTTACCTGTCAAAATATCTTTTAATTCTGTTCAGCTGGTTTTATGATTAGCCGCTGCCACACTGCCTAGCCAGGAAAAGAATTTCACAGTTGCCTTAACTGTGTAGTAATGTTGGTTAAAAACAGTAATTTCTGTTGCAGAGAATATAGCTGCTGCTGTCTGCCTCACCCAAAATCTTTGCACAAGGTATGATTGACAGCAGTGCTGGTGTTGTTGTCTCCATCCCCATGTACACTTGCCTATTCATAAAAGTCACAGTGTCATCACAGGATGCGTTTTGTAAATCGGGTTAGTGACTGATGCCAGAGCTGGTGTCTGTCAGACCCAGAGCATTGACATCACTGGGGTGGGGAGGAACTTCCACAAGAGCTGTACTGTCCAATGAACTGTTTTTAATGCTTTTAGGAGTGCTAACACTACATTACTACACGGTTGCAGCCCTCTTAAGCTATGGAAATTATTTTTCTGGGATTGAGCTTTAACAGTTTTTTGTCACCCCTTCACTCACCATACTAATAATCAGCAGTATGGTTATGGTAATTCATTGTTCGTGTGTAGACTACAGTGTCCTATATTATCTCTGTAACCTCAAAGCTCAACTAGAACTTACAAGGGTCACTTAGCTGATTGTGTGACCCACTAGACTAGGTAAACAGAAATGCATATCTTTTGGCATCTAAAACAGATCATTCATATACATAGCGTGTGTGTATGTAATACACAGGGGCTGACTCCAGTCCCATTGAGATTGAGCTCTGCTGTCACTTTTGCAGCAGTTGTTTTCTTATTCCGGGTCACAATTCTGAACAATGTCCTTTTGTCTCTTTTGGTCAGTTGATCATGTTGACGGCACTTATGCTTATCAGACGACGGTTTCCTGGAAACTGTATATGCGTCATAACTATTGACACTGTACCTCGTGACACGGCAAATAAATTGGCCACTTCAGTCACAAAGGCACCAGCTAAATGGCACCAACAATTTGCCCTCTCTGAAGCTCAGTAAGCTCTGACATGACTCTGTAAGGCCTCATGCACAATGGATGTTATAGAAATGCCAGTAGCTTTAGCTGTAGAATGCCATCTTAAAACACAAGTTTTTGTTGTGTTTTTTTTTTTTTTTTTTAGCAGTTTTGCGTTTGCGTTTATTAGCAAAACTATACTTCTACAAAAGCCCGAAGCTCACAAACGCTCATAAATGGAGGATAGCTTGTTTTCCAGTTTTTTTAGCTTTAGAGCGTTTTTACAGCTGAAAAACTCTTCTTCAAACGTTCTGAGTTTTTTTTTTTTTTTTTTTTTCCCCCCAGCCTGAAAACGCCCCTACTAAATTGCTGATAAAAGCCTATGTGTGCATGGACACATAGGCTAACGTGCAGGGGAGTTTTTTGGGTTTAGAATAAAAATGCCTGATGTCCAAAACAGCAGCTGAAAAAAACGCCCAGTATGCATGAGACCCTGCTATCAGCACACGCGCAGTGAATGATGAAAGTTAGGCTTCCCACCTGTTAGCTAGGTGTCTCATCACACAGCAGAAGCAAAAGAATGTTACATCACCTCTGCTTTCAACCCGAAACATATCCCATTCACACCTGCAAATCATAGTGTAGTGTTGTTTTTTTTTTTTTTTTTTTTGGTGTAACCCTCCTGTGTGTGTGTGTGTGTGTGTGTGTGTGTGTGTGTGTGTGTGTGTATATGTACACACACTCACTCTAAAAGGAGCACGCAGAAGCTGATTGGCTACCATGCACAGCTGCACCAGATTTGAACTTCCGCTTGTTGAATCAAGCTGTGACAATAAAACCTGGAAAGTGATTGGTTTCTCTGCAGAGCTGAACCAGTTTTTTTTGCAGTCTCCGGTTTTAGTATACCACCCCCCCCCCCCCCCCCCCCCATTGTGTGTTTTTAGTGGTTTACCCTGGAGTTGCACTTTAGGTTTTGTTGGCATATCATTTGGACAAATGGACTACTGCGTTTTATAAGCCTTAGGACACTTTAATTGTACTCTTTGCTGTAATGAAAGCAAAACGTTTTGTTATAAATGGGCTTCTTATGATGAGTACATGTGGTTCTGCTGCAGGATGCTTATTGCACACCCACCACTCTTGCCTATATCTTTTTATAGTATGTTCGAATTTCACACACAGATTTATTTGCTAAAACTGGAGAGTGTAGAATCTGGTGCAGCTTTGCAAAGAAACCAATCAGCATCCAGGTTTTATTGTCAAAGCCTAATTGAACAAGCTGCAAGTTAGAAGTTGATAGGCTACCATGGACAGCTGCCCCAGATTCTAAGCACACCAGTTTTCACCCCATAGTACACAAATTGTCGTTAGGAGCACATATTCCACCAAACATTCCTTCTATGTTTGACTATGCAAACTTGTATGTATTTGACAATTTACATTCATAGAATGTGTGAAACAGAGCAGTATACCCTCCCATGTAGTCCTTGTAATGCATATTTTATGGCTCATGTATGCAGGCATCAGATTTTGACATGAGTAAGGTGTTTTTATTTTCAGTTTTCCTTGTAGACGTGTATGGAGGGAAACGACAGTTCAGACTCAAACAAATGGTCATGCAGAAAGTTCCATAATAGAAGCGTTGAGTGTAACTGATTTTAACCCTGTGACCACAGCAAAGGAACACCATTATCATATTCCATTTTTTTTTCTTTTTTGTAAATGTTTTATAGAAAAACAACTGTAAAATTAGGTTTGTTTTTTTTTTCTATGCATTTGTAGTCCAATGTGACCAAACTGTCCAAAAGTTAGTGAACATGCACCATTTTCAAATGTAATATCTTGCCCATGGGGTGTTATGTTAGAACCAGCCATAACTGGATTTCAACCAGACCAATGGGAGAACCACCTATGACTT